GAATAAAGACTGGAGATATCATGGTACTACCATCGGAGCAAAAGCAACCCTTTTTCCTTTTTGAAAACGCCATCTCTGGAAACTTTCCTCGTTTTTTCGTTCCTCTTTCCTTCTTTCTTTCTTCCTATCTATCTATCTATCTATCTATCTATCTATCTAACTATCTATATATCTCTATTTCTCTCTATCTCTTTCTTTCTTATTTCCTTTTTGCTTTCTTTCTTGTATTCCACTTTTGGATGATGCCTTGCTGTATATCGGGATTTCTCTTGTCGAGAACGAAAAAAGAAACTCCTCCTTCTAAACTCTTGACGAAACTATCGAGAACTTGACGACTTTCGCGAAGTTACTTCAAAAGAGGACGTTTAATATTCGTCGTCCTAACTTTTTTCTCTTTTTTTTTTATTCTCTCTCTTTCTCTCTCTCACTCTCTCGCTCTCTCTTTTTCTTTTTCTTTTTTTTGTCTTCTTTCATCTTTACACGTACGCAGAAACGTGTATTATATAGTTTTATTACGTTGGATGATAAAAATTTAATTAACGTTTATTTATTTATTTACGATCGTTTTAAAATTTTATTAGAAATTTCTAATTCGATAAATAGATAGAGGAAAAGAGAGAGAGATAGAGAGAGAGAGAAAGAGAGAGAGAGAGAGTGGAATGGGGATCACTTGAATAATTCCATAAAATATTTTTATAGAAAGATCGAAGATATTTTAATATAAATAAACACACACAAAAAAATATATATATATATACACATATAGATATATAAATATTTATATATTAAAATATCGACGATCTTTCTTGAAAAAAAAAAAAAAAAAAAAAAGAAAGAAAGAAGAACGAAAAAGAAAATTATTAATATCGATTTAAAGAGTACGAAAAAAAAAAAACAAAAAAAAGAAGATAAATCATAAATATATTTCGTAACGTTCGAATGACATGTTTCAAGTGTCTCATCGCAAAAAAGAAAAAAAAAAAAAAAAAGGAAAAAGAAAAAAGTTTCATACTAAAAACATTATGTAAATATAAAAAGTCCGATATAACTATGATTATCGTGAAATAATATCTGTTAATATTTCGCAAATGGTCGATTTGGTTAAAGATATTCGTGATAAGAAATCAAATGTTATTGCAGATGTTCTCAATGTAAATTTTTTAAACTAACACGACATCATATCGTATCAGATCACATGAATAAGGTTTCATTCCTTCCTTCCTTCCTTCCTTGTCTCGTAAAATGTGAATCGCACGCATAATCCCGACTAAACGACATTGACGTCATGATAAAAATAGAAAGAAAGAAGGAAGAAAAGAAAGATAGATAGATAGAGAGAGAAAAAGAAAGGGAGAGAGAGAGAGAGAGAGAGGACATCCCGTTGACGAGACGAACATCCCGATGACGTTTGTTAAACGCAAATGGAAACCTTTCGCTTTGCTTTATGCGATGGAAAAGGCCATTAGGAACTCTTAAGAGATCGAGACCGATTGCGATATTTTAATCTTCGTTCGTTTAAAAGATCGACTACGTCGATACTGAAAGATCGATTACTATATTATTATAATAAAAAAAAAAAAAAAAAAAAAATAAATAAATATTAAACATCGCGATAAACAATCGTCCATTCCTTTAGGACTTCTGAGAATTGCGCTTATTTCTTCTTTCTCTCTTTTTTTTTTTCTTTTTCTCTTCGAGTAAGTACTTATTTATTTACTTACTTAGTTACTTACTTAGACAATTATTCGAACTCTTTGATCTTACGATTTCTACGATAGATAAAGACCAATGTTTCATGATAATTTATGGGAAATACTTGGATGATGATTTAGTAAACGGCCTCGGAGAATTAATCTCGTGGTGCCATTTAGTTCGAATAACTAAGCGTTATTTAATTTTATCTTAATGAGTTTTCATGAAGGAGTTTAGCGTGCGAAATATGACAAAAGTCAGAATGACTGAAGATGATCATTGAAGGAAAAATCATTAAAAGAAAAAAAAAAAAAAAAAAAAAAGAAAAACTGAAAAGGAAGAAAGAAAAGAAAAGAAAAGCATGAAATTTATTCACTTATCAACGCGAGTTTTAAATAAGCCGAGACATTGATAAAAAGTTTACCCTAGATATCAAAGTGATAATCGATAAATCTTCAAAGATAATCGATACTAAATCTTCTTTTATATATGTATACACATATAAAAGATTTATTCTTTAGTTTTACGATATAATAAAAGAAAATTCGTAACAATCATTTTTGATTTCTTGCGCGACGTTAGCTTTTAAAACGTACGATGACAGCTATAGCACCTATTTAAATTTCCACCTGTTCTTCCACCCCTCCTCCTCCCTCCCCACTCTTCTAATTCAATCGTAATTCTAATCTTTAAATAATGACGTTTAATGATCGTCGTGTCGAAAAAATGATGATAATGATAATGATGATTCCGAAAGGAAAAAAAAGTAAATACTTAATAAATTTAGTTTGGTGCGGAAAAAAAAAGACGACGGACGGATTCTCTTTGAATTTTCACAAACATAACAAAAGTACTTAAGTGTATTTCTTCTTAATTATATAATTAATATTATATAATTATAAATATATATATATATATATGCATGGTATATATGTATGTATATATGACACGAATTTATATAGGAAATTATTCGATAGGCGTCTTTAAAAAAAACCTTTAAAATTCATTTATAATATACGAGAAACTTATCGTTATCGTGATTGTGTTTCGATATGTTTAATACAGTTACACTCGACAGAGTAAATAATAATAATAATAATAATAATAATAATAATAATAATAATAATAATAATAATGATAATAATAATAATAATAATAACAACATAAAATGTAAATGAGCGTTGGACATAATTAAAAGTGATGGCCATTGATCGTTCTCATTTAACATAAAATATATACTTATGTATAAAATCCATGAATATTTAAAAAAAATGTATATATATATATATGTACGTACATAGGTATGTAAATATGTATGTATGTATGTATGTATACATGGAATACTACTTTAATGTTTGGTTTTGTCGTAAGCTTTTACCACGAATAACACGTCGATGCCCTGTTACATAGCAAATCGATTCACGTCATTCTAAATTGACTCGCTTTCACATTTTCCTACAGAACCATTTCCCTCTTTTCGTGTTATTTAACTAGTTCGATCCGTACATGAAAACAACGAACTATCTTTTCACTCTTTTTATCGTTTAAAGGTCTCTAGGTCGTATGACACATTCTTAATTTTATATATATATATACATATATTCTTTATATAGGTAGTGTTACCCAAGTAGTTCGTAAAAAGAAGATGAAAAAAAAAAAAAAAAAGAAAAAAAGAAAAAGAAGACAAAACTATAGAATAGATTTTTTATTACTTCGTTCAATCCTATCAAAGGATTATTTTTCTATAAATCTCTCTCTCTCTCCCTCACTCTCTCTCTTTTTCTCTCTGTCTTTCTCTTTCTATGACGTACAATACACTTGTACGTGTGTATATGTATAGATTCAAAAGGACGAATAGAAAGACGTATTTTTTGAATTTCGTTGAGTGCTTTTAAACGACGACTAAGAATAATAAGAGTAATAGCATTGGTAATAGTAATAATAATAGTGAATGGTTCAATGAGAAATATATTCTTCCTTTTTTTTTTCTTCTTCGTTTTCGTGAGAACGTTCTATTTCTACTTCTATTCCTACATTTATATTCCCCCTCCCTTCCTCCTGCCCTCTCACTCTCTTTCTTTTCTTTTATAGCTTTGTCCTAGAATAATTTTTATGATAATTGAACAAAATGTTATCAACGACAAGGATAACGACGAATGAACACACGATATCCATTAACAGAAACACGCTATATAAATATATATATATATATTTATATATATATATATATATATATATATATATATATTCCCTTCTTTTTCGAAAATTAGAGAAAATAAATAATGGACGTTTCCTCGAGAAAATAGAAAATACACTTGTTCTAAGAGCTTAATAAATACCAATCATACATTTTATAAACATTAGACAAAATACATGTATATATATATATATATACACACAGATCACACACGCACGCACACATGTACACACACACACACATTTAATACATTTAAAGACGAAAGATATAACTATGGATGATGACGGTAGGAGGTCCAAAGAACGAATGAAGAAGACAAGCCAGTCGACAAAGATTTCTGTTTTTTCTTTTTTGCTTCCTTATTCTTTCTTTGATTGTACGATACAAACACGTGCGACATTCTCCCTCTCTCCTATCTCTCTCTTTCTCTCTCTTTGTCTCTCTCTATCTTTCTCTCCTGGCATGAGGCCACTAAGTCTTTTTGTCCTTTATTAATAGACAAAGTATTATTCCTAGAAAAATAGGGAGATAAACAGAGACCGAGTTGTAACCGAGTTTCTACGTGACCTCCGTGTGTTCCTTTCAAGCTACACATGATAAGAATGTAAACATCTTTGAGAACGTCGAATATTTATCGATATACATACATACATACTTATATCTATCTATCTATGTATGTATATACACACACGTATGTACATATATATATATATATGTACGTACGTACGTAGTTTAGATATGTATGTAAATTGACATAAATTCTAATGTCATGAAAATTGTTAATTTTAATAATTATTAGATCGTTATAACATCAATTCTGATTATTATCTCGAATATTGATATCAATTTATTAGGACATATTTTTTTTTTTGCAATATTTCGTATCGATAAAAAAACATTATCCATTCGCGTCTTATCTAAAACTGAATTTAAATCGATTTTCATAAGATAATCAATGTTTTTTTTTCTTTTTTTTTTTTTTTTTAATTGAATCGAAATATATTAAGACGGAAAGAGAGAGAAAGAAAAAGAGAGAAAATACATACATACGTACATACATACATACATACATACAAATATATATATTCTCAATGTATAACGCGTTTCTCACCTTTTTTCCATTCCAATACGTTCGGAAAAAGCGTTGTAATGAAGAGAGAGTCGATATCCTTGAAGAAATGACGACGACGAATTATTCGTACGTCTCCTTTGTGTCCTAATGGTTCCTTCGATATAACGACAACGTTGTCGATTGTGAACGTAACGAAATTCCCTTTCTCGTAATAATAACAATTGTTGTTGTTGTTGGTTCTGTTGCTGCTGTCGTCGTTGTTGTTGTTGTTGTTGTTGATAAAATAAAGGATCGATTTGATGAATCCCGTGAACAGGTAATCTCCAGCAAAGAACATACGGTACAACAAAGTCTGGTTTGAGTTGCAGCAGAGGCAATACTCGATATTCAATTTGACGAGAGAACGAATGTTGTTGTTGTTGTTGTTGTTGTTGTTGTTGTTGATGACGGTAATAGTGATCTTGGTGGTGGTGGTGATGGTGATGGTGGTGGTGGTAGTTATGATAATGATGATGATAATGATGATGATGATGATGATGATAATGATGATGATGATAATGGTAATGATGGTGATAAGAGTACGAAGAAAAGAATTGAGTGTTGCTATCGTTGCTCGAGCCGCGCACCGGGAGCTGAACTTCTCCACGGAAGATGTTGCTATCACGCCACTCAAGGTCACGGGCTAACATGTCACAGGGACGTCATCCCTATCGACCACGAACTACCGATACCACCATAGATCCGACATACTCGATCACGATTGACTTCGTATATCGAAATCGTAATAATATTTATTATCCTTACACTTTTATACTCGTTTAAATATTATACTTGTTGTCTCGATGCGATAATATACGTAAACAAAACTCTCGTATATTTCCAACTTGGAAGGAAGAAAGGAAAGGAGGTAGGAAGGGAGGGAGGGAGGGAGGGAGGGAGAAAGAATGAAGGAAAATATAGGAAAGGGAAAAAGATAGAAATACTTCTTGAGAATAATATTCTTCTTCTTCTTCTTCTCTTCTTCTTCTTCTTCTTGAAATTATTCAAGATGATAAAAGAAGGTACATAAAGGAAAAAAGAAAGAGGCAGAAGAAAGAAAAGAAAAAAGAAAAAAAAAGAAACAAATAAATAAATAAATAAATAGATTGATAGATAAGAAACGTGGGATGGACAGAAGTTTGGAAATATTTTCGATGGAAAAATTTTAATCAACTTTTTATCGACTGACCGGAGCCGACCAACGAGCAAGACAGACCGAACGAACGAACGAACGAATGAAAGAACGAACGAACGGACGGACGGACGGACGGACGTAAAACGAAAGCCGAGATGAGATATCGCGCGACGGTAACAACGACGATGACGACGACGACGACGACGACGACGACGACGACGACGACGACGATGACGACGACAACGACGACGTGGAGAAGAACGAGAACGAGAACGATGAGAACGACGAGGACGACGACGCGTCGCGACGCGACGCGACGCCTCGCGACTCGACGCGCGCCAACACGACGATTTTCAAAGAGAGCATGCGCGCGCACCACATCCCGCACCCACGCTCAGGGCTGGCCCAACACATATCTTTATTCTTATCTCTCCTAATATCATTATATAAATCTTTTTTGATAAATTTGATAAATTTTCTATTCCAATTGAAATCGCGATCTCGAAGAGAATATAAATCTTTTTTTTTTTTTTGGTTATCGTACTCATATATAAACACAGACACAACACTCACGCATTCCTGCATACATAATTGTTGTATTTCGATGTTACATATTATCTTTTATTTTATTATATATATATATATATTATTCTTATTTATTATATTTACCCCTATATTATTATTTTATTATTATTCCTTTATTTTATAATATATTTTATTTCTATCGAAATAAATCTAGAACATATTATATATCAATTATTTTTAATATGTATATATTGATTAGTTTAATATCATCAAGATGAGAGAATATTAAGAATATTAGATTAGTTTAGGAACACAGTCGTATATCTCATTCGATAAAGGTCAAAGAAAGATCGTACATATTTCTAATCGCCTAATCACATGTATTAAATGGATTTCAATAAATGGTAAAATTGAAATCTTCCAAAACATTTTAATATTCTCCCTCTTGTTTTTTTTTTCTCTAATATATATTCTTCGTTCGATCTCTTTTCCTCTTCCTATGTTTTCTTTTCCTTTATCTTTTCTTTCTTCTTTTTTTACATAATATTTTTTTGTACATAATTAAATTATAAATTATTAAATCGTAATCTTTATTACAAAATTCCATTAAATGCTTTTACGTTTAAGCTACTTCGTTTCTCTTAATTCAGTAATCGTCTAGAGTTTATAAAAAAAAAAAGAAACAAGAGAAAAAGAAAAATAATAATCGAAAATGGAAAAGATTATCGGATCTGACATTTTAATGATAATTTTTCATATAATTAAATCGTCTCACGATTTAACCAGTCTCTGCTAATGAGCGCGAACCAGCCATGAAATCTTCTTTTCACGGTTCGAACGTAGGTGAGAACGATGCAAAACATGTTTCTCCATCCCCTCCCTCCCTCCTCCCTCCTCTCTCTTTCTCATTCTCTCTCTCTCTCTCACTCTCTCTTAAATGTAATTCCCAATGATCGAGACGAGTTTTCGATCGTTTTTTGTAATCGAAATATGAAAGGATGAAATATTAAAATGTATGCGAATGGAATTATGTATATACGATGTGATTGCATTTCGAAGGACAAACTTTTACTTTGATACTTCGCGTTACGATCGAATATATATAATGATCTTGTGCATTTACAAAATATTCATAAAGATCTATCGATCGATCCTTTTCATTTTTCTAATTTGTTCTCATTTATTTATTCAAGTTATATTTCCTTTCTATTTATTTATTTATTTATTTTTGCTGTTGTTGTTTTGGCCGAATGATATTTAAACTTGAAACATCAAAAACGTAGAGAATTTTATATTGGATTTTTTTTTCTTTTTTTTTTTGACGATAGTAATATTCATTCACAGAATTTTCTCTCATAGATCATGAAAATGATTGATCTCTCTTGAGATCGTTGTCATCATCATCATCATCATCATCATCGTCGTCATCATCATCGTTGTTATTACATACGTCGACTAGTAACGATGAAGCAAGTGGTAGCAAGCGATAATTGACTCGTAACTCTTAATAATTTGCTTATTGACATTTCACGATGCATTTCTATTATGAAAGATTTTTATATCTCAGAAAGAGAAAGAAAGACAGACAGAGAGAGAGAGAGAGAGAAAGAGAGAGAGAAAGAAAGAGAGAGAGAGAAAGAGAAAGAGAAAGAGAGAGAGTGAGAGAGACATTTAAAGATCAATGATTACATTATCGAGAGAAAGACGACAAAGGAGTATAACTCGAAGATATCGATCGATACAATCGATCGAGAAAAATGGAAAGTTTCTCTTTTTATTCCTCTCTCTCTCTCTCTCTGTCTCTTTCTTTTATCCTTTTCTACCTTTCTTATCCGAACACGAATCGATCGTCTGATTTCGTAGCAACGCGTAATTATCAGTTAGCGTGGACTAATTGGTAGCTTTGAGATCCAATCGATCGATAGCGATACTTTATGGCAAAGATGTTCCCGAAGGTTGTTGTCGCTGCCGTTGCCGTTGCCGTTGCTGTTTTTTGTTACTGAGAAATATAAAGAAGAGAGAGAGAGAGAGAGAGACTATGTTTTACAAAATGATTTTCAATTATTACTACACGAAGATGCATCAACGTTTGCTTTAACCAAACCCGATCATTATCGGGAGCGTTTTCCTTTCCTCAAGCGTACATAAATTTATGATGTTTATATCTTCGATAATTTCATATTTCTCTCTATCTCTCTCTCTCTCTCTCTTTTTCTCTTTCTCTTTAAAGTATGAAAACGAATTTGCATGCTAGTGAGAGATATTACATTTTTACGTAACAACAAAATGAACAAAATTGTCAATTAAATTGTCAATTACTTGCTTTTTCTATTTTACTCTTTCTCTCTCTCTCTCTCTCTCTCTCTCTCTCTCTCTCTCTCTCTCTCACACACAATCTTTGGCGCTTTATTTCTCTTTTTATTCTGTTCACTCATCCTCGAGAATTAAATTTCATAATATATCAGATAAATAAAACGCGATAGTATCGAACGGGATTTAGAGTTGTTTACACATTAATCAATGTTTCTTATTGGTCTCTACTATATATATATATATATATATATATATATATATATATATATATATATCCCTGGAAAATATCATTTAAATTAGAGCGTTTTCGGTGTTAAAAAAAGGAAAAAAAAAGAAAAACAAAAAAAAAACAAAAAAGAAAAGAACAGAAAAAAGGATAATTTCGTAAAGGCTTGACGTACTAACGAAAATTTTCTTATATCACTATATATACATCTGGCCCTTTCACGACCTAGATAAAAAAATTTCTTTTTCCTTTTTGGTTCGTTCTATAAAATAGAAAGTGATAAAATAAAGGATGACGTCAAGAGATAATTACGATATAAATTAATTACATTACGTTTTAAAGTAAAGCACTTAATAGAGACAGTCTATCATTCTTCTTGACTATCTATATATATATATATATTTTTTTTTTCAAATTTTATATATATATATAAAAGAAAATACATTGAATAATTTTTTTTACCTTGCGACATCCTTAAAGTGTCATAGCGAATGAACAAAAGCAAAATCTTGAAACTTCGAATGGGGAATAGACGACACGGTATCGTTTGCACGAACTCGAATAACAAAAGCCATTGGTTTAAGAGTAAAGAAGAAGGTGAAGAAGAACAAGAAGAAGAAGAAGAAGAAGAAGAAGAAGAAGGAGTATAAGGGAAATAGTGGAAGGAGGATAGAGAAATATCTGCATGCCCTGTGCTGCACCGAAACGTGATGCCCTTACGAAACATTCTCCGTGAGGCACGGACGTTCATAGGATGGTAAAATTCACTGGTAAACAGTCGCACATCGTTCTATGTACAATACATATATATATATACATATATAAATGGATGTATGTACATACTAGGAATACAAAAATCAAGGTAGGACAATGTGTAAAAAGTAAATGGTGACAATTTCGTTTCAATTCATTCTCTCTCTCTTTATTTCTATCTCTCTCTCTCTCTTTTTTTTTTATATTTCTTCTTTCATATTTCCACGATATTGCTTTCTCTTTCTATTTGTCACTTTCATTATATTCTATCTCTGTCGATTGAATTTGTCCCTCCTTTAAAAATCGAAATCACTCGTGTACAACACATTAGCCAGCAGCAGTATGCATCAATAGAAAGAGTGAGTGAGTGAGTGAGTGAATGAGTGAGAGAGAGAGAGAGAGAGAGAGAGAGAGAGATACATAATCCCTTTTTCGGAGTATACACATGAACGAAGGGCCCCTGCAACGACGGCCCTGGGCGTCGTTTCTTTCCACCCACCCATCTGACTCGTCGCGACGAGGGTAGTTTCGACAGGGCGAGAGTTACCCTCGTGCTACCATTGGCCAACGAACTCGCATGCGCTTTAACTTCGAAACTACCCCCTATTGATCCATTCTCTCTCTCTCTCCCTCTCTCTCTCTCTCTGTGTGTGTATGTGTGTCTGTCTGTCTGTCTCACTTCCTCTCATTCTTTTACTCTTATACACGTTCTTTCATCTTTCTCTCTCTTTCTTGTTTCTTTTAGCAAGGACACTCTCGCAAAAGATAGTCGAAGATACGAGATACACTATATCCCATCGTCGTTTCTGCCACCTTTCGTTGTTGTATCTGTCTGTTTTCTTATCTCTCTCTTTCTCTCTCTCTCTCTCTCTCTCTCTTTCTCTCTTTTTCTCCTTTCTTCGGATATCGGTTCCCAGCTGGTGTCTTACATACATATATATATATATACATTAATACATATGTACACGTTAGTTGCATCCTTCTCTTAACCGCAACTGTGATCTTCGTATTGTTATTTTTCTTCTCTTCTTCTTCTTCTTTTTTTCATTTTTTCTTTGTTTGTTTATTTCTTACTTTCTTTCTTTCTGTCTGTCTTTTTTCAATGATCCCTCGTCAACAAATTTCTTTCATAATCCAAAGAAATTTTTTGTCGTATTTTGTGATGCACATTTAAACGTTTGATTTAATGTTAAAAAAAAAAAAGAAAAAAGAAAAAAAAAAAAAAAAAAAAAGAAGAAGAAAGAAAAACTACAAGTCGAATATAATGTCAGGAACTAATTATTATTAATAATAATCTGTATACATATATATATATATATATATATATATATATATATATATATATATATATATATATAGGTTGTATGAAACTCGTCGAAATTGATACAAGATGAGAAAGCTGTCAGTACGAAGATGATAACTTTTCTAACGTAAGTACTTTACTACTACTATTACCAGAGTAGATGGACGTTAACATAGAGTAGCGAGATGCAGCTGACAGGTGGGAATTAGATGGTCGAAGCACATCATGTTTAAAAGGGAATTCTAATTAGTAGGTATTCATTTGCTAACCAACATTGTAAGATTTTAAACTATACCTTTTAAATTGATCCTTCGTATATTACAAACACGCGCACGTACACGCACATACGCACATATTGTGTATATGTGTGTATGTGTGTATGTTAAAAATTTTAAATGATCTTCAAAATTAACTGTCCGTTTCGTATATTTCGTACACACGTGAATTCATTTTAATTGTATTCTTTTCAACGACAAGTAATTTTCTTCTCCCTCTCTCTCTCTCTCTCTCTTTTTCTCTCATAATCCTTAACGAAGTACGAAACATAAAAAAAAATGAAAAAGAAAGAAAGAAGGAAAAAAAAATAAGAAGAAGAAGAAGACGAAGAAGTAGTAGGAAAACAACGTTCCAAGAAAAAAATGAAAATGAAAATGAAAAGAAAAAGGGAGGGAAAAAAAGAAAAAAAGGAAAGTAAAAGTATCGGCCCTTGTTTCTTGTTTCGGTCAAAACGCGATATCGTGACTCGTTCTCGCCATTAGGGAATCTCTTCTCGTTGAAGAGAGACTCCTCAATGTTCTCGTCGGTTCTTGGCGGTACTTTTTGCATGTAAATTGCAGTTAAAACACCAACGGAACGTAGCCGCCGCTAATTTCGGATGCCGGTGGCTCGATTCGATGAAAGATTTATGAAGACCGGGATAAAGAATCAAGGAAAGGGAAGAGAGGCAGACAGAAACGGAGATAAATAAAGATAAAGATAAAGATTAAGATTAAGATAGATAGATAGATAGATAGATAGATAGATAGATGGAGAGAGAGAGAGAGAAAGATAGAGGATTGGTAGGACGTGCTTAAGCAGCAGCAAATTTGCCTTTGTTCCATATTTCACTAGTTTTCGCTTTGTTTTTCTTCTTTTTATTTCTTTTATTTTTCTTTTTTTATTTCTCTTTTTCTTTTTCCTTTTTTTATTTTTATTTTATTTATTCATTCATTTATTTTTCTTTTTCTTAGATCACGGCCTCTTTTGCGATTAAACAAGAATATCCTTCGTATCTCTTATCTTTCATCTTTCCTATCATCGATAAATGCTTTCGAGAATATCGAAGAAGAAATTTATTTTATTTCTCTCTCCTTTTTGTTTTTTTTATCTTTTTTCTTCATTCTTTTTGAGATAAATCAAAGACACTAGATCGATCTTCTATGAACAGAGAGATAAGTAATAGAATAGAATAAAATAAAATAAAATAAAATAAAATAAAAAAAGAAAAAGGAAAGAAAAGGGAAAGAACGGAGAACAGGAACAAATAAACGAATAAAAAATAAGGATGATGAAGTATAAGAGGAAAGAGAGAGAGAGAGAGAGAGACACAAAGAGAGACACAGAGACACAGAGAGAGAGAGAGAGGAGGAGGAGACGATTGAATATTTAAGAGATGCTCCGTTCACGTGGAAAATCAAACTCTGCTTCTCCATTAAAAAACGAAGCATATACTACAAAAAAAAATGAAGAAAGAGAAAAAGAGAGAGAGAGAGAGATGGACAGAAGAAAAAAAATAAATGATCAAGATGAAATTAGTGGTGTCTGCGTTCTCCCTATATTAACATTTTCTCTCTTTTTTTTCTCTCTCTCTCTCTCTCTCTCTCTGTCTCTCTCCTTTTATTTTTTTCTTTCTCTTTTTCTCTCTCTCTCTCTCTCTCTCTTTCTCTCTCTGTTTCTTCTTACTTGTTACTCCCGAAGGATAAGCGTTGTTTCTTGGGCCGCAGTAATAGGAAACGTTTCTTACGGGCAGTAAAGTTCATTCCGAAGCTTCCTTTCGAGATATTAAATCGGAAGGAAGGGTTGCATCGTAAAATGAAATTTCTCGATTCATAGAAAGAAAAAAAAAAATATATATATATATACCTTCGAGCATTGTTAATCATTTTTTTTTTCTATCGAATTCGACGAAAACAAAAAGACAAGGAAAAAAAGAAAGAAAAAAAAAATTGTTCACGAAAATTGCTCAAAACCACAAAGGGAGAAAAAAGAAAAAGTATAATTTTTTCTTTTCTTTTCCTTTTTTTTTTTTTTCGTTCATTCGAAATGTTGACTCTTTTAAGATAGAACGACATTTGTCGGAGAGATGAACGAGTTCGATGATTAAAAGCAGGGATTACGAATGGGATTGTTCGAGAGTGTTTTTTAAAGAGCCGAGTGTTCGTACACTTTGCGAAGTCAGCAGGCGTGACTAGGCAAGTATCGAAGGAAGGGTTTTCCTTGTCGAAAATAAGCCACGTGGGTGAAGGGTAGAAAGAGAAAAAGAAAGAGAGAGGGAGAGACAGAGAGAGAAAGGAATACGGAAGGGGAGAAGCACGCATAGTTACGAGAAAGGGTGAGTGACTCGATATAAAAAGCGGTGTTCTTTCTCTCTTACTCATACACACACACACACAAACACACACACACACATACGCTCACTCACTCACTCACTCACTCACTCTTGGTCCACCCTCGTTGGTATCCATCCATTGTTTCCATATTCTCCTCTTTCCTCTCTCTTTCTCCCTCTCTCTCGCTCTCTATCTCTCTATCTTTCTTTCTGTCTCTGTCTCTTTTTTCATTGCCCTCCGGATACAAAAAGAAAGAAAGAAAATCAAAAGGGACGTCATTTTTCAGAGTGACGGACGAGCGGGAAACCGCATACAGGGAGAGTCCTCCAATTTTATATCATTGTGATATCAAAATTATTAACTTCTCTTCTTGATACATATATACATATGTCTATATATATATAGTATGTGTATGAGTAAGCGAATGGGTATATCTATATATAGTTATATAGAATAATGCCATTTTTCAAAGTGACAAACGTATGAGAAACTGCGAAATAAAAAGAGAGAGAGAGAGAGAGAGAGAGAAAGTCCTCCAAATTTTATATCATTTTTATATGAAAATTATTAACTTCTCTATTTATTAAATGAATAATTTCTCTTTTATATGCTTATATGTATTTATATAGGACAAATTAATATAGACGCAATGTCATATGTGTCATTGTTATTAAATACGTATTAACGAAGGTGAACTGTTCCGAGAATATAAACAGTTCTAAGAATTCAGCCAAGGATTTTGGAGTTTGTTTATCAATACGTATTCGTACTTGAAATACCAATTTCAGTCTTCTATGAGCGATCGAAGAGACAAGACGTATAAGATTCGTTTCTTTTAGAAATTTTTAGAACGTTTTAGAATTATCATTTAATATCGTACATTAATATAAGTTTCGTTATTAGTATTATTTTATTAACATATATATATCCACACACACACACATACACACACACACACACACACACACACACATATATATACGTATAGATATATAAGAGTTATAATTCGATAAGAATAAATCGATAATATTTTGATATCACTTTTGTATCGTCTTAAAAACAATTTTCTATTTACTTTTTCTTTTCCATTGTTTCAGAAAAAAAGACAAGTAATACTATTAATTATCATGGATGTTATATGTATATGTGTGTGTATGTAAAAAGATATCAACTTCGATACGTAGTACCAATATACGTGTACATTTCTAACAGGATACTTGGAGTTTTTTTTTTTTTTGGCGGATCGATTGCGTTGAAAATCACGCGTGCGGAACGAAACACAGTAAGTAAGCAAGCAAGCAACCATTTGGCTTCGAAAAATGAGAAGATAGTAAAAAAAAAAAAAAAAAAGAGGACTGACTCGTCATACTTTTTCGTGCTTTTATTTTCTCTCTCTCTCTCTCTCTCTCTCTTTCTCTCTTTCTCTCCCTCTCTCTCTCTGTCTGTCTTTCTTTCTTTCTTTCTTTCTTTTTATTAGTTTCATTCCGTATATCTTTCTTCTCTATCTAACTTTGTGAAGGTTTGCTAAAAGGGGAAAGAGAAGGGTCAACCAAACCTGATGTTTCTACGTTACTGCAACCCTTTGATTCGCGTATCGACTGTCTGCCACTCGTCGAAGGGTGAAACAAATTTGTTCGACGTACGTTTTACATAAGCTTGAGTATACGTGTATCTACGTGTCTCTCTGTGTATGTGTATATGTGTGTGCGCCGTATGCGTATATATGTACGTGTTTATAAAAAAGAAATCCAATTCTGTTTCTCTGAAAATCTTCTATATACACCCATACGTACATACATATATACATACATATATAAAAGTACCATTTCCTTATAAGATCAAAGAAAAAAATTATCTAATATCGTTTTAAATAACAATTAAATGGAAATCATTGTCGTACTATTTATCTCTTTCTCTCTTTCTCTTTCTTTCTCTCTCTCTCCCTCTCTTTCTTTCTCTTTTTTTCTCATCATTCATTTAAAAACTTTCAGATTTGAACAACAGCCACTAGTTTCTATCATCGATCAGATTATTTTCGTATTACGAGAAATATTACTTATAAATCGTTAAATACTTACAGACATCTTATATGCATAATTCATTTGTAATCGTTGATAGAGTTTAACAACGTCATCGAGAGAACAGGGAATGGACTATTCGTAATGTCAAAGATAATGATCGATCAACCGACGATCGATCATTATCGAAGACTATATAACCGAGTAAACGCGAAGTCCTTTAAAATCATGGAATGGGGAAGAGCATAGAGAACGGAGAATGTGGGAGGGAGAAGGGGAGATGGGGGAGGAGTGAAGGGAATGTACACGATAATTAAAGGACATAGCTTCGGGCGATTTCCACCGAAATTGGAAGTCACGCTCGACGGAGATGGTTAATAAAACTTTGGTTATATACATTTGTGTGTGTGTGTATGTGAGAGTGAGTGAGTGAGAGAGAAGAAGAAGAAGAAGAAGAAGAAGAAGGAAATGAGAAAACGTCAGAAGAGCGAAGATACGTGTTTAACATCGCAAGCTCATATACAAAATTTCGATAATTGATATTGGTAAATAATTTTAATATTACATATCAAGAACGACGATTTAATGTCATATATTAAAAACGATAATAGCGTTATACGATAATAATAATACGTATCAGATTAATGTCTGATGAAAATTTCAAAGAGAACGAAAAAAAAAAAGCAAAAAAAAATTATCGCCACTTTCAAAGTGAGGACATTCGTGAAGGACGAGATTATTTTTCTTCTTCTTTTTTTTTTCCATCAAATTTTTCTTACCGTTCAAGTTTAGTTTTTAATTGATATAACTTCAAGTCACAAAATAAGAAGATATATATATATATATATATATATATATATATATATATATATATATAGAAACCGAGAGAGAGAGAAAGAGGTTCAATAAGCTAATTCAACGTAATGAGGTAAAAATAAGAGAAAGTGGGAAGGGAAGAGAAAATGATAGAGCAGAGAAGTCGGTTAAAAAGACGACCTTCGTTGGACTCTCATCCATATCTTTTCAACGCCAACGAGCTAGAGATGCTAACGGATAAGTGACGTGGAACGCGAGAAGTGGAAGAAACGAAAGGTGTGGGAGGAAAGTTTCCAAGAGATTTCTTATCAAAATGCAAATTCGCTTGGCGACCTTTCGCTATTCTCTTCTATCTCTATCTCTCTCTCTATCTCTCTCTCTTTCTTTAGTTTTGTCTGTTCAACATTTTCAATTTTAACTATTTTTAACTTTATACATTGTTATTGAATAATAACGACATATATATATATATATATATATGTATATAGGAATATTTGTTGAAATATCGACTAGCTAGGAAATAGCAAGCATTTACAATTTTACAATGTACGATTTACAATTTAGATGGAGGGCCATTGTCTGTCTATGCAACCCTTTTCTCTCTCTCTCTCTCTCTCTTTCCGTCGTGGCGTATGAAAAAGCTACCCTCGGCCAATACACCCCCGACAAAACCACCCTTTTCTCTCTCTCTCTCTCTCTTTTTTTTTTAACCCTCCTGCTCATCATCGCGTCCCTTGCACTCGACGCGGATATCACTCTGAATACTTTCAGTTTGTGCATTCACCGATGTCGCTTTCGTACTTTCGAGCTATCCCAATCCGAAGGCCACTTTAGTCGAAAAAAAAAAAGAAAACCAAAAAAAAGGGGAAAAAAAGAAAGGAAGAAAATAAAAATTAAAAGGAAAAATGCAAAGAAAAAAGAAAAAACAAAAAAATCCTCCTCTATTTGTCCGCAAATTATTCTTCTATTTCTTCTCGTCGAACGTGTGAGTGAGGAAAAAAGAAATATATATATATATATATATAGAGAGAGAGAGAGAGAGAGAGAGATAGGGGTAAGGATAAAGAGGGAGGCATCGAAATTACCACATCTTGTATTATCCGTTAACAGAAACGACACAGGCAACAACTATAAAAAAAAAAAAAAAAAAGAAAACGTCGTTCGTGTGACTTCGTACTTTTATCTAAACCGATTTCTTCTGCGTATAAGTTTTCTCGTAACACTTGGGTTTAAGCGCTTGGCCAAATAAAGTCATCGCGATTATCGCCATCGTAACGAAGTGGACGTTTATTTCCCGACGGTACGGGTACTACCCGTGGTTGTACGATACTACTACTACTACTACTACTACTACCCCTGCCTTCATCACCCCCTTCCCCGTTCCCCGTTCCCTGCTAACCGCACAACACCCTCTTGTCTCCGCCATCTCTCTTCAAGTGCACCCCGATTCTCTACGTTTTTCGAGTCCTCCAATGGTTTTACGAGTTTTACGACGGTTTATCACGAATACTCAAGAGAGAGTGAGAGAGAGAGAGAGAGAGGAATTATTTTAGATTAGTTTTTTTTTTAAAAAAGGAAGGATAGATTATAATATTAAATAGCTTACGATTTATTATGTTATTAAATAGATAAAATTAATGATATGGGATGTATAATTTTAGAATAAAAAAATAAAGAAGAGGAGGAGAAAGATAGAGAGAGAGAGAGAGAGAGAGACAGAGGGGGAGAAGATAGAGAAAGAGAGAGAGAGAGATGGAAACAATAAAATAAGAAGAAAAAATAAATTAAAAGGATTGCTTTATATAAAAAAGAGAAAGAGAAAGAAAATAAGTGATATATATATATATAAAAAAAGAGAGAGAGAGAGAGAGAGAGGTTTCTCGCGTGGCTCGTAAAACCGTAGAGCTTTTATCAAGTCTCGCGATAAACGAGCGAACAAGTTCGTGTACACATATATGCGTCCTAGTACTCACGAAGTGTCGTGTGCTATCGCGGACCCGCGAGCACGTCGTTACAATTAATAATGCATGCGATATATATACTAGAAGGCTCGTTCGCACGTATTACCGCGAATAAATTTGTAACCTTACGTTCAAGAAGATCATCAACGTCGTCGTCGTCGTAGTCGTCGTTGTAGTCGTCATTGTGATAGTTGTAGTCGTCGTCGTCATAGTTGTCGTTGAAAAGATGATTCATCGTAACTTACGCTTTAGATCAGAATGATGAATGAAAGATTCTAATGTTATATCTAAACAGGATTATAAAACGAAACTTATTGTTTCCTGCAAAATTTTATATACATATAAATATATATATATATATATACACCTATATACATACATAAATACATAGAAATACATAGAAATATTTGTATGCTTTTCATTGGATATTTCATTCGAATTAACGATTCAATTAATCATTTATAATTCGTATTATTAAGAGAGAAGTAAGAAATTAATTGTAATAATTGGTTGCAAAGAGATAGAGAGAGAGAGGAAAAGAAGAACTACAGTGTAATTAATTAATGCACGAGTAATACGAATAAAAGAACAAAAAAAAAAAAAAGAAAAGAAAGAAAGAAAGAAAGAAAAAAGAGTCGATGATTTCTGACAAATACAAGAAATTAATTAAAATCATCGATGCAATAATAGTATTGTCGATGGATTTTTAGTATCTTAATAAAAAAATTTTCAAAATTTTCGCGCGTATACGAAAAGAGAGAAAAAAAGAAAGAAAGAAGAAAAAAGAATAAATAAATAAAAAAGAAATAAAGAGAGAGAGAGAGAAAGAAATTCGTCAATTTACATAGTCCAACGAGAATACCTAAGACAAAAAAAGCGAGTCAACGATTGTCCTAAAGTTTGACTGAATTAATCACTCGACTAGTATTTTTTTGTTGTTGTTGTCTCATACGTAAAGAAAACTACGTAAATTGCTTGAACTCGTAATTCCGTATACACGTTGTTCAATTGTTCGTTCCTTTTTTTCTTTTTTTATTTCTTCCATTTTTTTTTTAATTTTTTCTTTTCTTCCCTCAAATTTTCAATCATTAATGAAATTAAAATGTTGACTATCGTTAACGTTACGTTTATATATATGCATATACACGCATATATATATATATATATAGCAGATGGGATTTTATAGGTGAGACCGTGAGGTCATTGACCTTACCCGATGTGTAGGAACCTCGTCGAGTAATGTGTGTTGTACTACGATCCTTCTTTCCCTTATTTTCTTTAGCTTCTTCTCGCGGTTTTATCGATCACATTACATGGGATAAAACTTTACGTTCCAACGATCTTCGACGACGGGGGTTCCCTTCGGTCGTTTCCATGTTCGTTGACAAGGAACGACAGAGGAGATAGAATGAAAGAGAGTGAGAGAGAGAAAGAGAGAGTGAGAGAGAAAGAGAAAGAAAGGGGGGTAGTATAGATATGCGAGAAAATGGTCGATGGAAACAAAGATAAACGTAGAGAGAAAGAGAGAGAAAAAGAAAAAGAGAGAGAGAGAGAGAGAGATGCTTTAATTATCGTTAATTAGAATGCATTTTTTTTTTCCAATCTTTTTCTTTTCCACCGTTGTTATTGTCATCGTAGCGGTCTATCTACTCTCCATGTGGTTTGGAAAAAACGAAGAAAAAAGAAAAGAGAAAACGCCAAACGTTACTTTTAAAGAAAGTTAAGTAAATATAGAAGAAATAAAGGATTAAAAAAAAAAGAACGAAGCAAAGAAGAAAAATGAAAGAAGAAAAGAAAAAAAAAAGAAAAATCGTGAAGATAATGAAAGATCTAGCATCCGTTCGTTTGTTCGTTCGTTCGGCAGTTTAATTAGTCAAATGGAAAAAGAGGAAAAAAAGATGAAACGAAAAAGAGAAAAAAACAAGCAAAATAAAAATGAAAAATAAAAAAAAAAAGAAAAACAAGGAAGAAGAATGATAACGAAATGATGAAAAATGATAACAGCGTTATCGGATCGTCGATGTAAGTGGAAAAAAAGAGAAAAAAAAGAAAACAACAAGGAAAAAGAAAGAATGAAATAAAAAAAGCAAAACAAAAAAAAACGTGTGAAGGCATTAAATAATAACGATACGTAGAAAAAGAGACAGAAAGAGTTAGTAAGAGAGAGAGAGAGAGAGAGAGAGAGAGAAAGAGACAGAGAGATACTCTCGAACGATACATGAAAAATTCAATCCCGGAACGCATTTGCTAATGATCCTTTCGCGCGTTTCGCCTAACTCTACATATATCGTTTTTCAATTAGCTGATTGAACGCGAACGTGTCCGAGGGAAATACATACATACATACATACATAAATACATACGTGTATATATACATATATATGTATATATACGGTGTAACCAAAAGAGAGAAAGAGAGTTTGCTCGCAAAGACATTACAACAAATTAATGTCAAAAGTCGGTCGCAAATGTCGACCATTTTGGAAAATTTTAAGCACGAAACTTCGAAGAAGACGCGTTTAATATATATATACATACATACATACATATATACATACATATATACACACGTACACAAACATAAATGGGTATCAAAGTATATATATATTTTTTTTTCTTTAAAATTATATACAATAAATACGAATATGTCATAATTAATTTAATCATAATTAATTTATACTTGAGATTATTACGATAGAAATTCTCGTTCTCTTTCTCATTCTCTTTCTCTATTTTGCAAAATATTTCAAGAATTTTCTTTATAGGAATGTTAAATATTACTGTTGAAATAATGCTCGTTCGAAATCTGTCACGTTTACCTCGTCAAATTTCATTTTAATACAAGTACAAGATTACATTTTATTATTAATATATTCAATCGTTAAAATATTACAACTATGAATCCCAATGTAAAGTATCATCTTCAAAAAAAAAAAATATATATATATATATAAATATAAATAAATTAGAAATAAATTTTCTTTCAAATGTTAGAACTAACAGAATCATTATCGATTTTAATATAAAAACGATAAGATAATCCTAATGAGTGTCGATTTATAATTTGTCGTCTTCGTCGTCATCGTCGTCATCATCATCATCGTCGTCATTGTCGTCATCATCGCCGTCATCGTCATCGTCATCGTCATCGTCGTTGTCGTTGTCGTTGTCGTCGCGCTTAGACGGTGCCAAAACGAGTAAAACGTTAGACCCGTGACTAGACTCGGCAATTTTCTGGAAAGAGACTTTTCAGGAAGAAAAGAGACAAAATAAAAGGAGTATAGAAAGAAAAGAAAAAAGCGAAAAAAAAAGAAAAAGACAAAAAAAGACAAAAATAAATACATATAGAAGTTCTCGCGTGTAGGTTCGACGGGTTCTCGGGGGCCTCGAGGGCATGGGTATACTCGCGTGACGTCGATGGAGAATCGGTCAGGAAACGTCGGCTATGGGCACACGAAGAGAAACGAAGGGTGGAGGAAGGACGAAGGAAGAAGAAGAAGAAGAAGAAAAAGAGCGAGAGAGAGAGAGAGAGAGAGAGAAAAGGAAGAAGTTGAGGCCGTTACGAGGTATAGATGTTTAGCTGGATAAACTCTCTCTAAGACTTGTGTTATCCTTTCAAAGACTACCGTTGCTTTCGAAGGTCCCCTGCCCGCCCCTACCCTCCCTTCACCCCCCTTATTTTTCCTTCTTTCCTTGGACTTCTCGTGGTTTATTATTTTAAAAGTGAAAACGACGTACGTTCGTTAAAATTTAACGTAAGGAAATTATCCATTGCGTTGTTATTATTTATTATTACTCGAGGATAATTAATTGTTATGGTCAATCTTTATTTTCTTTCTTTTTCTTTTTCCTTTCTCCATTTATTTTTAAGTAGTAATTTTTTTCTTTTTCTTTTTTTTTTTTTTTTGACATCGAACAAACATTCTTGGGGAGGACTAATATATATAAGAAAAAAAAAAAAAAAAAAAAAAAAAAAAAAAAAAAAAAAAAAAAAAAAAAAAAAAAAAAAAAAAAAAAAAAAAAAAAAAAAAAAAAAAAGAGAGAGAAATAAAAAACAGATTTTTAAGCACAATCTTATTAGTTTCTTCCTCTTTGTCCCCTCCCACCCCCCTCTCCGCCCTATCTTTCATATCTTTCCATTCCTTTCCCCCTTTGTTTTTCTTTTCTTACTTTTTCTTTTTTTTTTTTTCATACAGACACAACACAACACACGTCAAAATGTATTGGATAATCGTACATTGACGATGAGATGCATTTTGGTCGACCTCGAGACAAGAAATAAGCGAAGATCCGGCCGTATTTTTTTTTTTTTGTGCGAAGGTTATTATTACGAAAGGAAAAGTTATAAATACCTATTTAATTTGCACTTCTACAGAAGTAGAGTACCTTTAATATCTGGGAGGGAATAAATTTGGCCGACATCCAGAATATCCACCTATTTTTGCGAGATGCTATTTTGGACTCGGGCCATCTAACACAAGAGATAAAAAAGAAAGAATGGAAAAAAAAAATAAATGAGAGAGAGAGAGAGAGAACTTCGATATATTAAAAATCCAAAACTCTAACCGAAGCCCTTACATTCAATTCACCCATTTATTCCCACCCACCTATCCCCAATCCCATTTTCCCATTAAGATAGTTATAATACAGATATAACAGGCAGAAACTTTGCTTCTTAAGAAAACTGTCTGAGGAAGTTATGATTATGATCGAGTTTCTTTCTAGTTGGAGTTTAGCTTAACAAACACCACGATGGCTAACACACCTGACCGACCGGCATTGGACACTTTAGAAGACCGTGAGGGAAACACGAGAACGTCCTACTTGAAACAATAACTGTCAGAATTTATTAACATGAATTTGAAAAGTTTTACGATAATGCACGTCATCTTCTTTCTTTCTTTCGTTCTTTTCTTTCTTTCTTTCTTTCTTTCTTTCTTTTTTTTTTCTTTCTTACTTACTTACTTTCTTACTTATTTTTCTTCTACTTTTACTTATTATCGAAAGTGAAAGAGAAAACATGGACAGATCTGTATGATCATTAACATTTATATAGAATTGATTGTTTCTTTTATTAGATACATACATACATAAATACATATATACATATATATATATTTTTTTTGTTTTATATGTTCAAATTGAGAAACTGAAGGGAAATATGTGAAAAATCTTGGGGAAAATAATTCCTAAATATATTTTACATTATTTTACATGTTCAAAGAGAAAAGTTAAAGTTCATGATTGATCAGTATATAAAATAAAATAGAATAAAATAAAATAAAATAAAATAAAATAAAATAAAATAAAAAAGAAGAATACGTCTGATAGAAAACGAATGTAAAATTTAATTCAAGACGGAGACGGAGACGAAGACGAAGACGAAGACGAAGACGAAGACAGAGATATAAAGAGAGAAAGAGAGAGAGAGAGAAGAGAGAGCAAGTAGTAGAAAACGAAGGGAGAGGCTCCGAACGAAAGGATACGTTCAACCTTGGAACGAAAAAACGTAACGGTCATTCGCCTGCAAGGTGAAGAAAAGTTGGCCGTAGTAAGTCGAAGTGGAAGTCGTGGTACTAAGAGAGAAGAGAAGAGAAGAGAAAAGAAGAGAAGAGAAACGAGGTATAGCCAAGCAAGTAAGCAAGCAAGCAAGCAAGCAAGCAAGCAAGAAAGCAAGAAAGCAAGCAAGCAAGCAAAGCAAGCAAGCAAGCAAGCAAGCAGGCACTGACCGGAGCCAAGGAGACGACGCTTCGAGCGATCGGTGATTCCTGTCCGCTTGGACGAGCCAACAGAAGAGACCGGTCTCTCTTTCTCTCTCTCTCTCTCTCTCTCTTCTATATGTATATCTATTTTCTTCTCTTTTCTTTTTCTTCTTCTTCTTTTTCTTCGAAAGAAAGAGAAAGAGAGAGAGAGAGAGTGAGAAAAAGAACAATGTTCTTCCGTAAAAGTTCTGGTAAAGCACGTAAAATGTGATCCAGAAATTGATATCTTTAATCAATCTAAAACTTATAAAATTCTTAAGTTTATCTTATGTTTATTTATTTTTATTAATAAAGATTACAATCTACATTGTAAATATCTAAATATGATCATAGTATTAAAATAGATATGATCGAGATTTTCTATTAATGTATATTCAATGAAAATTCATCGTAGTTGATTATTGAAGAAAAAAATTCATGATTAATCAAATGTATATATAATACTTTGATACGTTTATATCTTTCGAGATAATGATAAGATTTTAATGATGGATTTTGATAATTCGTAGACGATGTGTCCTTCGATATTAATTGAAAATATGAAATTAATCGTATCGAATGATTTCAGATAAAATAATACGTAGATGAAATGTTGACACTCGTTTGAATCGAAGGGTTAAAGTTTATTCGATTGATTCGAAACGAAACGATATAGATTTCGGGACGATGATTTTGTGATTTTAAGATTTCGTAAGGTGAAACGGAAGGGACAGTAGGGCTAGGGAAGAAGGATTGCATCCAGGGGATGGTGATAATATAATTCGTAAGAATGTTCGCTTTCGTATTTACATAAGTTTTCGTGTTCGAATAATAGATAGGAACAAATGAAAGATATTATAAATTTAGATTTGATCTAACGTAATAACATTAAGATTTTCCAATCGTATAAATAATTTCATTCGGATCGTGTCGTTTTATTTTAAGCGTCAAAAGATTGAAAAAAAAAAATTAATAATCGTTTGGAAATTAATCGAAACGAATGACAGGAATGGGAAAATAATTTTAAATAGATATATGTCATTCTGTTTTACATGCTGGTACTGAGTAAAGTAAAAAAAAAAATTAAAAGAGAAAAGAAAAGGAAAAAAAAAAGAAGAAGAAAAGGAAAAATAACATTCATTGTGTTTGTCATGTTCGTCGTCGTCGTCGTCGTCGTCGTCGTCGTCGTCGTCGTCGTTGTTGTTGTTGTTGTTATTATTATTATTGTTGTTGTTGTTGTTGTCGTAGTAGTATAGTTGTTGTCCAACGACGCGAGAGAGTCTTAATATTCCATGGGTGTGATCATTTATCAAGTACCGCAAGCGAGCGCGGTCGAACGACATTCCTCACCGGCAGACCGAGACATGGCCCCGACACGCCGACTTATTTCTCGACTTTCTTGACTTATTTTGCAAAACCATTTACGACGGTGCCCGGTGCGTGTCGTGTGCGTGTGCGTGTGCGTGTGCGTGTACGTATGCGCGATATACAAGCCTTTCGAAACATGCTTTTCGATCGTCCTTCTTCTCTAACGTTTCATCCTTTTTCACAATGCAATGACGATGCGTTATACCTCCTCCCTCCTCTCTATCCTCATCACCACCAACACCATCACAATCATGCCATCTTTGATCGTTAATTAACGTTTCTTCGGTTGGGGGAGGTAGGGAGGGAGTTTCCCCTCTTTTTCTTTTTTCTCTCTCTGTTTTTTTGTTATTTTTTTATTTAATTCCTTTTTCTTCCTCCTTCCTTCACTCGATTCTTCCTTCCTTTATACTTCATTCTTTTTGTTCGGGACGAATCTCATTTTTTTTTGTTTCTTTTTACTTTGTTTTTTCTTTTTTCTTTTTTTTTTTTTTTTTTTTATGAAAACAACTTTCACCGTCGTCGTTATCGTCGTCGTCATTATCTATTACGTGAAAAAGAATTAAAAGTAATGGGATGTCTTATACTACTAATCACGTTTATTGCAATATTTATTCAATATTAATTTTCTCAGATCGAGAAATTGTCTAATTTCGTGAAAGGACAGAACACTGAATAATCGTAGTTTCTTCGATTAGTAATAACATTTGCGTAAATCAAACGTGTAGTTTTTAAATATTACATATCATCTTTCGATAATAAATATGACGATTTTATATTTTAATCAAAACTAACCTTTAAGAGAGTTAGAATATTGAAAGTTGATAATTCAGATGATAAATCATTTTCGAAGATATTTCTTTCCTATTCAATCATTAAACTTCATGACAATAAATATTTTTCTTTTCTTTTTTTTGTCTTTGCTCTAATACACCTAATCCAGTCATGTACATATATAAATATATATATATATATAATATAAAAATATAATAAAATATGATAAATATATTAAATTAAATTTTAATATATTAAAATATATTTAAAAAAGAAAAATATTTCTTTGAAACTTGTTCGTCCTTTTAAAGATCGCTTACTTTATTAATACTGTTCTGCCGGACGTTTTTTTTTTTTATAAAGATCTTTAACCTTTTATTTTATATCAGAGAGGGATGTAACGATTTGTAAAGAATCTGTTAAACTATAAAGATAGAGAGAATATATATATATATGTATAGAGAGAGAGAATGAGAGAGAATCAACGTAAAGGGTCACGGTCAATGGGTTTTCGCTTCTCGCGTCCGCGGCTTCCACATCGATGAGCACGTTATTAATAACGGCAAGCATTTGAAACGCACACGAAGATAGAAAGAATTTTACGTGCAGAGAAAGAGAGAGAGAGAGAGAGAGAGAGAGAGAGAGAGAGAGAGAGAGACCAAGAGAGAGAGAGTGAGAGATAAATAAAATAGAAGTTTATGTGAATATACGGGATGGTTCTTTTAAGTAAGGCCTATTGTGATGCAAATAAATATTTTTTATGCAATATGGTGTCAAAAGAACAAATATCAAGCTAAGATATTTTTTTCACAAATTCATTTTTTTCGAAATTATCAAGTCGACATCTGTCGGCCATCTTCTGTTGCCGCCGTCACTAACACCGTCATAAGCCTTCGGTCATCGTCATGGTCGTCATTGTCGTCATCGATCCTATTCGGTCTTTGTCATCGTCGTCATCGGTCTTCATAATCGTCGTCATCGGTCTTATTCGGTCTTCGTCATCGGTCCAATTCGGTCTTCGTCATCGGTCTTCGCCATCGGTCCAATTCGGTCTTCGTCATCGGTCTTCGTTATTAGTCCAATTCGGTCCATTCGGTCTTCATCATCATCGTCATCATCATCATCGTCATCACCTCTCTCTCTATATATATACATATATATATATATATATATATATATATATATATATATTCCTGGAGGGGGACGCGTTTATGTAGTATAAGCTTTGGAGTTGCACGCGGGTATGGCACTCGACTCGTGTTGTAATGAATGACAGCGTGAAAGCGCATTTATTGCGTAACGAAAAGTCGAGGAGAATTGCTCGGAGAATGTGCTTCGTCAATTGCCATTGGACAATATTTAATTATCAATTGCAATTAACGATGACATTTTTCTTTTCCTTTTTTTTTTCTTTTTTTGCTAATAAACATAATAATATTACTCATGGAATAATTATTTAATCAAGTTACTTGATGTTTTAATGAACGATTCGTAAATTCTATACACTGGTTATTGAATAATTCGGTGTTTCTTCCTTGTTCGTGCCTGACGTTGCCTTTGAAAAAAAAAAAAAAAAAGGAAAAGAAAAAGAAAATCACAAAATCGAAACAATTGGAAGAAAAGTAATAAAATCGAATCGTGATATAGACATTTAAAGATTGAAATGATTTCGAATGAACATGAAAACGAAACTCGTGCAAGATCGTCAGATACATGCATATATTATCTTTTCGTGTTAAGGGAGAAAGAAAAAAAAAAGAAAAAAAAAAAAGAAAAAAAAAGGAAAAAAAAAGAAAGATACGTGCGAACTCACGCGTCTACACCGTCTCGATGTTTCTT